GGACAGTGGGAAGGGAGGCTGGGCAGGGAACCCTGGCACTCACATATGCAAGGACAAGCACCTACTGTATGCTTCTTGCTACCAGGCAAAAGGAACAATAACAAAAAATCCAGCACCATCTGTTCCTCAAAAGCCAAAAAGAAAGCAAGGAACAGAAGGGAGGATCCAATGAGCCTGAATTTAACCCAGTTCAAAGATGTAACCACCAGCTCACAAGAAACAAAGGGGACAGAGGAACAAGGCAAACGACACTATGAAGAAACAACCCTCCCAATCTAGATCACAGGGCTTCCTATGGGGCTTAACCCAGGTTATTTCACAAATAAATAGTATCAGCTGGGGGGAGAGGGGGAGGTGAAATGGGAAACTTACGGATTTAATGGAGCTAAGAGACAAAACAGCCAAATGCAATGTAGAAACCTTGGTCAGATCCTTGTTTACGGGGAAGAAAAAGACATTTTTGAGATGTGGGGGAAATCTGAATATTGACTGGGAGTTAGATGCTCCTAAGGAATTTTTTCTTTTATTCTCTAAGATGTGATCATGGCACTGATGCTATTTTTTTTTTTTTTAAGTCATTATCCATTGCAGAGAGCATGGTGAACACTTGTTTTAAAATAATGTAAGGAATGAAAACGTGGGAGAGGTAAAAAGTCAAATAAGGTGGCAAGGTTTTGATGCCTACTGAATCTGGGTGATGGGCACACAGGATTTAAGGTTAACTACTCTCTCTGCTTTTGTGGATGTTTGAGAACATTAAGTAACATTCGTCAAAGATTGGGTACAATGTTATTTATCCCTAGCCAAGAGGCCAGGCATGAAAACCCAAAGGATAGCGCTCAACGTCACATCTAAATTTTAAAAACTACAACAGAATAACTAAATTAAATGTATCAGCACTTTTGTTTTAATCATTTTAGAGAATGAAAAATAATCCTAGTGTGTCCCTTATTCTCTTAGGCAGCCTACCTGCATAACAGCAAGTGTGTATGCCCAAGACTTTTGTACAGAAAAAGAACTATCACTATACTTAAACAAGAGTTCTGTAAGATTATGGTAGAAGAGGAAAAATCCATCCATTATTGAGAACCTAGGGAAAGCCTGAGACTCGGAGTTACCATGATAAAATGAGAATACAACGGGTAGAGGGAAGAATATCGAATTACAACACGTTTAACCATGTTGTATGCCATGCTGTAAAAAAAATAGGAGAAACATGCTTTTCTCAATTACGTGTTCAAAAATATTATTGGAGATGAAGCTCTGTTTGGTTCCATGTCTTTTGTAGTGATCCCTGGGGACGTTTCTTTCCATGTTTATGCAAAAGTACTGTCACTTGTCAGAATCCTGAAAGGGAAGGGAGGCCGTGCACACACGCCCATGAGCATCACGTCTCCAGAGCTGGCCCAGAAGGGAGAGACCTCATCAAGCAAACCGAGAAAAACACACAGAAAGAAGGGAGAAAAGTATTTTTGCAATCGACAAAGTCCATGGCTAAAAAATTAAGTTCTTTGTAAAAGCAATATATCAAAAAATAAAATAAAATGAAAATTTATTTTAAAAACCAATATATCAAGATGGTAATGAAGCCTTATCTTCCAAATTCAATGTCTTTTTTTTCCCCCCAAGACTTTTTTTATTTGAGAGAGAGAGAGAGAGAAAGCACAAGCAGGGGGAGAGGCAGAGGGAGAAGCAGGCTCCCCGCTGATGAGGGAGCCTCATGCAGGACTCAATTCCAGGACCCCGGGATCATGACCTAAGCCAAAAGCAGATACTTAACCGACTGAGCCACCCAGGCACCCCAAAGTTCAACGTCTTAAGTAAATTAATTGTTTGATGTTATGTACAAAGCCACCATCATGCATTTACCCTTAAATGCACATACTAGATTTACTGCAGAGGAACATGGCTCTCCAAACTTATCATCAAGTGAATTTGTGAAATATTTTACATCTGGTGGGTTTGAATTAGACTTCCAAATAAAATGACTATAAAAAAAAAAGAGAGAGAAGTATATACCATATACCACGTGCTGCCAATAGGGGGCAGCCTCAATGTTATAAACAAATTATCCTGTGTTAAGAAGGTCTTTGTTCATAAGGTTATGGAAAAGCACTTCATTTTTATGTGCTTTCCTCTCAGAAAGGTAATAGATGAAATCCTATAGGGGAAAATCAGATTGAATTTAACTGCATCACAAAGTGTTCCCAGGATGGCCGCTTTCTTAAGTACCGTCAGAGATGAGTCATTTAATGTAAAACTGCTCCCCCGCACAATCAAGTTTCTCATAAATGCAGCTGTTTCCATAACACGAAGAAATATAATTATCACCTTAGCCAACCCCACATCATCAATGTATTTTTTCCTAAGTTTTTATTTTTAAGTAATCTCTACACCCAGTGTGGGGCTCGAACTCACAACCCTGAGAGCAAGACCCACGCTGAGATCAAGAGTCAGATGCTTAACCCATTGAGTCACCCAGGAACCCCTCAAAGTTTTATTTTTATTTAAATAATCTCTACACCCAGTGTGGGGCTTGAACTCACAGCCCCGAGTTCAAGAGTCCCAAGCTCCACGGACTGAGCCAGCCTGGTGCCCCTAACAGGTGTGTTTTCTAGATTGGCCTGTCCAGTATGGGAGCCACCAGCCACATGTACTTCAGGAGCACTTAAAATGTACTAAGGAATTAAGATTTTAATCTACTTTTAATTTAAAATTAAATTTAAAAACCAATACTCGATGCAGTTACTGAGAAAGTTCCCAGTATTTTTGGAAAGCCTGGGCATGTGAATCCTATTTTTCCAACTGTAAACGTTTTGGACGTTAAATAAAGATCAAGTATTTCTGATGAAAATATAGTACCCTAATTGGGATGCACCACACTGATAAGATGCACAAGGGATTTCAAAAACTTAGCAACAAAAATTCATGTAAATCCTCTCAATTTCTGCACTGATTATATGTTGAAATACTTGTATTTGAGATATACTGAATTAAATAGGCTATCTTACTAAATTTCTACTTTCTTTTCTAAAGATTTTATTTTTAGGTAAGCTGTATGCCCAACGTGGGACTCGAACTCACAACCCCATGATGAGTTGCATGCTCTACCGAATGAGCCAGGCAGGCACCCCAAAATTTTTACTTTTTTAAAAACAAGGCTTCTTGAAGAGTTTAAATCATACATGAGGTGTGTGTTGTATACTGGACAGGGCTGCACTAGAGAGAAATTTTAGGAGCATAAATTACTAAATGTGTCCAGGGGAACAAAACATACACCTTGATCCTTCTCCACGGAATATTTTAGGACTGTAGGTGTGATGGTATCAGCAAAGACAGCCCTGTCTCCCTCCGTCTCTGTCTGGGTGTGTGACTCTCTTCCATGCCTAACTGTACCAAGCGACCAATGAGCCAACCGGGGAATATAGGAAAGAAAGCTCACGTTTTAGTAGGGGGGATAAACACAGCAAAAATAACCAGCTTTGCAAGGACATCAGCCTCACTGAAGCAGAATGTTGTACTTGTACACATTACGTACTCTATAATTGCACACATTCGCTGTAAATGTTTTCCCAGCAGCATGGGGCAGTCTGGATCATTGGGCGAAGTACGTGAAGAAGCCATTTTATGCCTGACCACGTTAAGGTTTCATTTTATAGGACTATTCGTGATGAGATCAACGTCAGTGCAAATGATGCTGAACACGTTTGTTCCAGGGAGTCCGGTGTTAGAAATCGACGTTACAGAATTCAGCGGACATACAAATCTGTGGGCTTTCATTTACACAGAAAAATACTGAAACGGATAATCTGCTTGTTCGGCAAGAGGACTTTTTCAGTGTTTCATTAGTCTTCAGAAATAAGAAGTAAGATAGGAAATTATTTTAAAACAACCCCAAGATGACCTCGTGCATAATCTCTTCTTGTCAAAGATGGTGAACTGATCATATCCACCTCTGCTCCCTCCCAAAAGGCAATGAGGAATGACAGGATGAAGTTTTTAAAAAGTGTAAAGCATGGGGCGCCTGGGTGGCTCAGTGGGTTAAGCGTCTGCCTTCGGCTCAGGTCATGATCCCAGGGTCCCGGGATTGAGCCCCACATCGGGCTCCCTGCTCCGCGGGGAGCCTGCTTCTCCCACCACCTGTGTCCCTCCCTGCCCAACTCGTGCTGTCTCTCTCTCTCTCAAATAAATATAATCTTAAAAAAAAAAAAAAGACAGCATAATACATGAGGTTTCAGAAGGGGCAAGCAGACAGCAGGATCAAAATTTTGGAAGCTGTCCCAGGAGCTGGACCACAAAAACGGAACAAGCCAACCCGAGTGTTGAAAGCAGTCTTCTGCTGAGAGTGGAAATGAGCTGGTGGGGGGGGGGAGGGGAGGGAGCTCTTTGACACACAGGAAGTGCAACCCTATAATTCTGATAAAAAGAATGAGTCATTTGAGATATAGCACCGCACACCTGCCGATGGCTAATATCAAACAAGCAAGACAGGCGTTGGCGAGGATGCCCAGAAAGGGGAACGGTCATGCACTGTTGGTGGGAATGGAAGCCGGGGCAGCCACTGTGAAGAAGAGCATGAAGGGTCCTCAGAAAGTTAAAAATGGAGCTACCCTATGACCCAGCAACTGCACATGTGGGTATTCATGTGAAGAAAATGAGAACAGTGCCTTAAAAACATACTTGCACCCTCCTGCTCACTGCAGTATTATTTACAGCGGCACGACACGGAAGCAACCTAAGTGTCCACCCCACACATGAACGGACAAAGGAAATGTGGTCTCCACACACAATGGGCTACGATTCGCCCTTAAAAAGGACATCCTGCCACTGGCGACAACGTGGATGGACCCTGAGGCCACTATGCCGAGGAAGGTAAGTCGGGCACAGAAGAAACACAACCACGGCACGCGGGGTCCCTTACATGTGGAATCCCAACACAACCAAACTCGCGGGAGCGGGGAGGAGCATGGCGGCTGCCACGGGTGACCGCGGCCACTTACTTGTCCACCAGCTTCTTGGCGAAGCCGAAGTCGGTGAGCTTGATGTGACCCTCCCGGTCCAGCAGTATGTTTTCCGGCTTCAAGTCCCTGTAGACAATCTCCTTGGAGTGCAGGTACTCGATGGCGCAGACGATCTCCGCAGAGTAGAACAGCCCCGTGGTGCTGGAGAAGCGGCCCCGGTTGCGCAGGTAGCTGAACAGCTCGCCGCCCGGCACGAACTCCATCAGCATGTAGAGGAAGCGCTCGTCGTGACACGTCCAGAACCTGCAGGAGGGCAGCGCGGGAGTGAGCGCGGCGCCACGGGTCCCCGCCAACGAATGTCAGCCCCAGACACCTGCTGTGCTGTGGGGGACAGACATGAAGGATGTCGCCTACGTCGACGGGAGGATATTCATGCCGAGGAATGGATGCTACAATATGCAGGTGGGCAGGTGTGAAAATCTGCTAGAGATGGATGTTAAGATGTGGCACCAATAAAATGTAGGGGGCGCCTGGGGGGCTCCGTCGGTGAAGCGACTGCCTTCGGCTCAGGTCATGATCTCAGGGTCCTGGGATGGAGCCCCGTGTTGGGCTCCCTGCTCGGCGGGGAGCCTGCTTCTCCCTCTGCCCCATCCACCCAGCTCATGCTCTCTCTCTCTTTCAAATAAATAAAATCTTAAAAAAAAATCTTGGCCAACAGGCTGAATTGTGTCCCCCAAAATTATATGTGGAAGCTCTAGCCCCCAGGACTTCAGAATGGGAACATATGAGGGAATAAGCTCTTTGAAGAGGGGGTTAAGGTATAATGAGGTCACTAGAGTGGGCTCTGATCCCATAGGACTGGGGTCCTTATAAGAAGAGGAGCTGAGGACACAGACACACACAGACAACCACGTGAGGACACGGGGAGAACATGGGATCTACACACCAGGGATGAAGGTCTCAGGAGGAACCTGCCCTCGGCCCCGCCTGGATCTCAGACTCCCAGCCTCCAGGACTATGGGAAATAAACGTGTGTTGTTTAAGCCCTTCAGTCTGTGGGATTTGTTCTGACAGCCCAAAGCAAATTCATGCACAGTGGACACATTTTCGGGGATCACACCTGGTTCGGCCAGCTGGCCCTGTAATCGAGACTGGAAATGTAACAGTAAATGAACGGACTGCCTCCCAAACACCTGCCGGGGTAAGGTGGCCATTAAAAATGTCGGAGAGAGAGTCAGAAGAGGCGCGTCCTCCTTACAAAGGCATTCTATTACTGGAAGGAGAGGTGGGGGAGGAGGGATGACAGAAGACGCCAGGTCCTGTCTGTTTCCGAGAAGTCTTGACAAAAGGAAACAATAAAAAACACACTGTAGGGAGATCAGCAGTGATGGAGGAAGAACATTTTCTCATAGAGGAGATGTGGGAAGAAGAGAAACGAGCTTTGGAACTACGCTCCGCATTTTTGGGAGGACGTAGGAAGTACAAGGATGTGTATGATATAATCAGCAGTAAGAGAAGTCCCCCTTTAAAAGCCACCCTGCCGGGATGGCAGGCATACAGGACGATGTTAACCACGGCCACGCTACGGTGTCAATACTGCAAGGCTCCCGCTCGCATCTTCTGTGATCAGGACAATACGGTGCTTCCCTGAAGAGCTGTCTCCCCATGAGCTGCATCCAACTGGGCTTCACCAAAGATACAATCACGCCCGGAGAACTGGCCATCCCTTCGGGAGGATGCTCAGCACACCTGCTCTACCAGAGGGTCTCACCTGCCGGGATGGGCCATTCCAATGAAATAAAGTAAAATGGGGGGAGACAGATTGCCATGACATGAAGATTAACTCGAAGGAAAATCACAAAGGGATAAGCATATGCAGTGGGTCAGGACCGTATGAGTTAAGGCAAATAAAGAAAAACATGTGACAGAGGAGAGGAAAAAAATCCCAATCACAGAAATGAAAAACTCTGCTAGCATTTAAAAAAGAATGTTTGGTTTGCTACTCATGGTGTTTCCAGGTATTAGCAAAACACAGGTCATGTGTACAAAAAGCTTTCACGAAATACACGGGGGAAACGTGCAGACCCTTTGCAGTAAGGGTGCCATTCCGGATGACACGTACCCACAAACGGGCTTTGCACAAATGCTGTCCTGTCTCCAAGCTGCTATCAGCAGTGAGACCACGGGGACTTGCAGGAGGTCCCTGTTTTCAGTTACTGAAGGCTGTGCATCTGTGTCCTGCTTCCCCTTCCCACTTCTCACAGCTCAGAAGGCTCAAGATTTGCGGTATGAAGGCACGAACGGATACAGGAAGCAGGAACAGTGTTTTGGGGGTTTGGGCTGCTATTGTCACTTCCTGGAAAAGTCTTTTACAGTTACACAGACTCCCCAACCAGCCACATTCTTTCTACCATTTAAAGCACAGAGGAGGGTTTCCTTTCGGCCACATGCTCTACTTCGTGATTAGTATGGTTAAGAACATCCCTTCCCATGATGTTTCAATATAATCGCTTCATATTTCAAATGTATATGGCGGCCACACTCTGCTTTCATGGGGGAGCTTGGAATCCAACAATGACTTCACCATTCTGGTGGGGAAATATGGTCTAGGATCCAAATAACACTGGAGTGGTGAACTTGTAGAATGAACCTCTATGTAGGCTGGTGACGTTCCAGATTTCTCCAGAACAAGATGAGTACCTAATTTAGGTAGAACTCACCAGAAAACGCCTGGTGTTCCAGAATTTGGGGGTAGCACGGAGCTCTTGAATCGACCCCAGATGGCCAAAACTATCCAATTCATAGCACTATCATTTTCCACAGTTTTGTTGAATTTCAGTGAAAAGGTAGGAAATATGCAATATCCTGTCTCCCTACCACTCAGATGCCTAAGTACGTGCATGCATGCACATGCATGCACACACACACACACACACAGGTACACACTCATCAATGGTATGCACTCATTCTTTGGATATATTCTATAGGCACTCCTACTGATCCACAGCCAGGATAATAATCTACACAGATTCTCTCTTAGCTCTTGAGAACAATGCACCCACCATGTTGCAATGCAACTTAGTCTCACCCTTCAAAGGCAGGGGAGATAATTCACAATGGGGGAGATTACAACGGGGCCAAGTGAGTCAGCCTGTAAGGAATGAAAGGGAACTTTTGGGATTAATCGACCAAGTGGAATGTGTCAACCCCCAAGACCCGAAGGGTGGACACCAGGAGATTCGGGCAGAAGGAATGGGTCAGGATCTCCGAGTCTGTCACCTGGGTTCCAGGTGAGTTAAATTCCGTCCACGGGTAGGTTTATATATATATAAAAATTGGGACTTAGTGTCTACCGTTCTGCTCCCAATTCCAACATGCGTTGTTGTTCTTTTCCCCACACCACCAAGCAATTCTGTGACACCAGCTGGGTGTCCTACAATTCAACTCAATTCTGACACTGTCTACAGCAGGAGATCGCGCACTTAAGGGTGCAGTCCTACAACACTCCCCCAACACACGCACTTCTGATGCCAATCACAAGTCCAGGTCCCGTGCTTCTGGCAGAGCCACTGTAGGTTAGAGGTTCCAAACTCTCCTCCTTGGGTTCCATTAATCTGCCGGAGGAACTCACAGAGCTCAGGGAAACATGTTACCCACTGGATCACTGGTTTATGATAAAGAGATAAAACTCAGGAAAAGCCAGATGGCAGAGACGCATAGGACCAGGTGTGGGGAAGCTTCCGTGCCTTCTCCAAGTGAGCCACTCTCCCCAAATCTGCCCAAGCTCACCACCCTGGAAGCTCCCAAACCGGGCCCTTCTGTGATTGCACAGAAGCTCTTCATGAAGGCAAGGTTGATTAAATCACTGGCAATTAGGGATTAACTCAGCCTCCAGCCCCTCTGGTCTCCTGGCAGATCTGGGGTGGGACCGAGAATTCCAACCCTCCAATTACGGGATTGGTTCCCCAGGCAACCAGCCCCTGCCCTAGGGTGTTTTCCAAAGTCACCTCATTCACATAACAAAAGCCACCTTTGTCACTCCTATCACTGAGGAAATTCCAAGGATTTTAAGAGCTCAGTGCCAAGGACAAAGACCAAACATCTATTTCTTCTTAAAAAATCACATTATCAAGTGACAAATGTCACACACAAATGACTGAGTGGGGAGAATTAGACCGATATACATTTGTAGCACATTTGTTGCACAAATCTCTCAATAAAATCCAACAGAGCATCAACAACAACCTAAAAAGGACACTATATATCAAGTGGGCTGTCAATCCTACCTAACAACATCACACTCAGGTGCCGTCGGTCACTAGCACCCTTGAGAAGTAATGGCTTTCCAAATAAAGGTACTCCACGAGGACTCAAAAACCGAGACTATGAAAAAAAAAAAATTTGTGAGGGTCCAGGTTTCCCTGTCTGTCTTCAAGTCAAATAAATATACTATGGAAAAAAATTCCACGGATACATCTTTCCTTCAAATTTACATGAATAAGACTTCTCTTATATGGAGAAAATGTGTAACGTGCTGGGCGTTATTAATAAGCACCAAAATATTCAAGGAGATGCTGACGTTACTATTACAAAAACATTTGTAAGCAGTAAGTCATCGCTTGGGGCTTGTGGGTGGAGGGGAGGGGTCTGGATGGCCATAAATGAATTAAAATCTGAGTTTAGAAAATGAGAAACAGGACTAATGGCCTCAGCCAAAGCATTGGTTAATTCATTCCCATTCCTTGCAGGACTCCGTCCCTTGCATGGAGTCTATAAACAACCAAATGCAAGGGCAAAAGGACGTAAGCGGGTTTGCCACCAGTGGTATGAGAAAGAGAGGCATTTCTGGATCTAAAGTTCAGTATGTATTAGGAGTCTTGCTCAAGCACCACGGGTCAACAACTCATGAAACACAATCTATCCACATCCATACTCAACTTGCTCTTTGCTTCATTTACTGCGTAAATTCTTTTTTAAGATTTTATTTATCTGAGAGAGAGAGAGAGATCACGAGCGGTGGGGGGCAGGTACAGGGAGAAGCAGACTCCCTGTTGAGGATCCTGGGATTATGACCTGAGCCAAAAGCAGACGCTTAACCGACTAAGCCACCCAGGTGCCCTTACTGGGTAAATTTTGACCAAGGACCCACTGTATGCCAGGCAACAAGCTGGATACACAACAATGGAAAGGGCAGTTCTTTTGCTGATGGTCTTGAGCCTTGTGGGCTAGCTGGGGAGCTGAGCATAAATAGGAAACACAGGATGGCAGCGGGGAGTCAAGAGCAGGGGGAAGGCGGGACCCAC